CAATAGCCCTCATTACAAAAGTAGGATTCACCCTTCTTGATGAGAATCATGTCCAGTTTATGGATCTTGTGTTTCCAGCATCTGTTGGGCTTTTTTCCCCAATATATTGCAAAATAGAAGATTTTCCAAGGTTTCTGGCATCTTTCCCATTCTCCACGATTTCTCAAACTCGCTGCCAGTAGCTCTGAGATTATATCTGCAAATTCTTTTCACACTCTGAAATATAATTTGTCTGGATCTAGAAGTTTGAAATAATTTATATGCCTAGATTTTTCTTATTCCCGAACTTATTGTGGGCCCCACTTTCCTCTCTTCATGATCTCCTTTGCTGAACATTTAGAACTCAGAATCTATTCTCCTTGTTCCCCAAGATGGAATCTGAGCATTGGGTAATTTGGACTTTTTGTTGTCTGTTAACATTACACCACTTCTTGGACCTGTCCATCTTTTTCTTCTCCTCACCTCATCCTCTTCCTCCTTCTTCCCTTCTTTTATCTTTGTTCTTTTGTTCTTTCTTCCCTTCCTCCCTCCCTTCCTTCTTTTCTTTCTTCCTTCCTTCCTTCTTTCTTTCCCATCCCATTCTCTCTTTCTCTGAACTGAATCTTTCATGAACACCTTTTTGATCGCTTGTGTTTCTTGGATTTCCCATTAGCTGAGGCTTTAGCCTTCCTGAAAACCTCCATTTTTTTGTATTGGTTCTTGGATATGTGTCCCTCATTATCTCTTGTGAACATGTCCTTTAAAAAACATGAGTTCATGAGAAAGTTTTCAGCGTGGCCACACTGGCTTAGAAGTTTACTTATCCTTTTCCTTTTCACTGGAATTCTTCATTATTACATTGCCTTAGAATTCATGTAATGCTCCCCTTCCTTGCTGTTATGGACTCCCAAAAGACATGGTCACATTCTGCTGAGGTCCCTATAATTTCTGTACAGAAAACAGTTCTTTCTCATTGGTTAAAATTATATCCAGAATGGCAGTTTCTCCTCTCTGAGAGCTGAAATTGTTAGTTAGGAATGTTAAAAATTTTTATAAGCAACTCTATTTTAGCAAAAAGGGACTCCCAAAAGACATAAAGATTGTTCAAGTCCCTCTGCCTATGATTGCTTGCTTGTAGTTATGTGGTCGGCCTTCAGAAAGCCTCATGCTTGCCTGGGCCATCCGTGGTAAACACTAACCCTAGAAGGACTCCTGTTGATATTTTGCCTGTAATTCTATCCTGCTTTCACTCTTAGTGAGTGGCCTTCTGTACAGGACCATGCCATCTTTTTGCATCCCTTTTTCATATACAAGGCTACTTCTTCCTGTTTCTTTTGAACTTGCGACTTCCTTCTACTGCTGCATTTCAGGCAACTATGTGAGAGTGGCCATGCTTAAGGTTAACATTCCAAGTTCTCTTTCGTTGCATCTCATCCTCTGTGAATCAGAGTCTGTGTGCATAAGGATATTTTAATGCAAAAGGGTCTTTCTTGATGAGTTTCTCTCATTTTCAACTAAGAATTAGGTATGAGGTACCCCTATAGTGGTCCAGCAATTTCTCCAGATAGTCCCATCCTTCTCACCCTTGACTCCCATTCTCCTTCATCCCTTTATAAGAGTTTCCATCTGACTTCCTAGTGCTCCATCCTTCTTAGTCTTTTTTGGGTTTTTGCTAATAATCTTGTATATGGAAATATATTCCTCTAGGACTTTACCTGTTCTTCTGATCACAACTGAAGTGATGGTTAATCACCCCAGGAACAAACATGGAATACATTCTTCACAAATTGGCAGGGAGAAGAAGATGTACAGATCTTCTTAATTTTGCTGACAGTGCGATTTTGGTCAAGAACTGTATGAGAAGTACGGATACAGGAGCACAACTTTAGAAAGGGCCCCATGCATATTGCGAAGTGGCCCTCTTTGTGGTACAGAAAGCAGCTTTGCTTTTGTCTCTGGAGTATCTGAAGGGGCTATACCTAGGTGAGAGGAGGTTAGAGAAAGGAGATTGGAGGGGGCATAGTGGACTTTGGGGAGGGGAAAGGCCTACAAGTTGTGGCTTCTCCTGCTCTCCTTTTCAGCAGATAAACCAGACTGTCCCTCTGGCGCCCATGGGGCTGAGAGGGAAGTCCTTCCCCATCCTGCTCCAACACAGTATTCCTCTCTTCCTGCTAGGATTGTGTCCCACTTGTACACATCCCATTTCCTGTACTGCCTCCCCTGGTGGCTTCTCCCCAGGATCTCGGGGAAGCAGGCCGCTTTATCTCTAAGTTTTCCAGGCCTGTGGCCCCTACCCCGTCACTGCCGCCTACCCTCCATCTCCTTTGCTCGCCCATGAGTAGTCTCTGCATCCGTGCTTGTTCCACCTGGCCTCATACACTGAAGCTGATGATGCAAACCTGGGAGGTGGCCTGTGCTTATGGGCTGCAATTTGAGGCTCATGAAAAGGCCCCTTTGTAGGCAGTGTGGGTTATGCAGTCAACACTGGATACAGACTTGGATTCTAAATCCAAATTTGGCTACTCTCCAACCAGGAAATCATTCTCAGTCTCTGAGTTCCTATGTGTAAAATATGGATAATAATTCTAACTATGCACACATGTATTTACATACATACACACATGCACACACGTAACGTGTGTATTTCCTGGCATATAGTATAGGTCCAACTGATGTATTGTTTCCTCCTCTATAAAATGGATAAAATAGCATCAACTTTTTGTGTTGATTTTGAGGAAAGATAAATGAATACATTCAATAGTACTTATCATTACTAGCTATTGTGGGGGAATGTGTACTCTACTGGTCAGAGTGATTAACTGTGGAGTCAGATTAAGTTTGAGAGCTAGTTCTGCCACTAACTGGCTGTGTGTTGCTGGGCAAGATGATACTTACCCTTTCTAAGCCTCACTTTCCCAAACTATAAAATGCAACCAATTACAGAACGCCCCCATAGGGTGGGTCATGATTAAATGAGATGATCCATGCGAAGCATCCAACCCAGCGCTTGATGTTTAGTGAGGGCTTTGGAAGTTGTGTGTTGCCAGTCATAGTAGTCACATTGTTCTCTCTGCTGCCCTCCCCAGCCCTGGGTCAGAAGAGATTTTGGTTGCCTGGTGGGGGAGGGGAGGAGGACAATGCACAGAAGACCCCAGAAGGCAGTGAGTGGTTCAAGCCCTTCGGAGGGAGGGAGAGTGGACAGTAGGAGCAGCTGGAAAGGACAACCTCGGAGAGGATGTGAATTTGGTCAGGATGAGCACCTGGCACTTCTTTGCTTTTATTCTTGTCTTGTGCCTTTTCCATCATTTTTATGGGCTGGTGTGGAAACGTTTGCTGAAAGGGCTGTTCCACCTGGATCTCATTGAAATCACGCAGCCTTCCCCTTTGTTGAATGTTTTTCTATCCCAGTAACTATATAAAATGTTCCATTTGTGAGGTAATTGTTCTGTTTCAGATTTTCTTTCCTAAACTAAAAAGGAGAGTTATCCAAAACATTCGAGACAATGGCTTAAACGTAACGCTCTGTATGACGAACGCTTTATTTCCTATCGTTTACATTTCTTTTTCCTATTTAGCCGTCTATGCTCTGGCTCTGGGTGGAGGCTTCTAAAGGTCAGGGGTTGCACTGGGAAGAGGATGGAAAGATGAAGGGAATTTCTTTTGTTGTAAATTTTCCACTTCCTCGAGAGTAGTAGTGGGAGTCATGAGCTAAACAGAGGCTGCTTTCACGTCTTTAGAAACACCATTATGATCCTTATTTTGGTTGCTTAAAATGCCTGCAGGAAACAACCAGCTTCTGCCCAAATAACTTTTATACAGAAAATGTTCTTTTGCTTTAGCTGCGTGTGGCGGTGACTTTTTCTTGACGCCAATGAACCTCCCTCCCACTTCTTGGCTCTGCTGAATAACCAGAGTGGGAAGAGGAAGGAAGAATCAGGAAGGGGCAGAGTTTAATTCTGACATTTTCAAAGGTAGAAGATGGGCCAGATCTTCTTCAACAAGGAGATGAAGTAGAGTGTTAATTGTTTAGTTGTGGTAAAGTAAAGGAGGAGTGGTTTCAAAGTCAATGACTTGGGTTCAAGCCCCATTTCTCCTATTCATTTATTTATATGTGGTGTAAACCTTAATCTTTTTGACCATAAAATGGGAAGATAACACCTAGATAGCAGGGCTGGCTGAGGCTTAGCAGAAATGAGATGTGACTGCAAGTGACCCTGCTCTTGAGTCATTCGTATGGATGCGATAATATGTACAAGGCTTTTCTTTCTTTTGGCTGGAGGAGAAAGGGGAAGTTTCCAGGTGTCCTTGAATGTGGGGGACCAAGAGGTGACATGAGGACAATAGAAGGTCAGTATTGCATCTGTGTCCTGTGCCCTCATCTCCCATCCTAGGTATAAGATTCCCCGTTCTTGACCCTCACCCTTAGCCTTATGAAGTAGGGTTTGGAGTGAAGCAGAGCCTTGGGGCCCAGGTGATAAAGTCCTGCCCAAAGATGGAGCAGAATGACTGTTCCCCCGTTCCGCCCCAAATCTGTGGCACCCTAAGGGCTCAGGGCAAACACCAGCAGCAGAGTGCTGCTGTCCAATGGCTCGTGGGTCATAGATGTATGACTTTGAGGAAAGGAGAGCAGAGGGATGTTGCAAACTTGTTCGTGAGTTAATCTGAGACAGCTTCTAGGACACCCAGAAGTCACTGGGGGAGATTTTAGGTGCGAAGGTGTGTGTGCTGTTGAGGGCTTATAGTCCTACAGACGAAGCCTTCATTTTAATGGGACCTCATAAGCTGGTGAGGCCTGGGGACGTTTGAGATTCCTGTACCTTATTGGGTTTCAGTGTGGATTAAAAGAGAGAAAGCCCACGTGAAAGCACTTTGCAAATTTTAAAGTGCTGTCGAAGAATGAGGGATTGGTATTTGGATGACTCTCTGGAATCTGGTGAAGACCCCTGTTAGGGTATCATTGGAAGCTCTGCCAAGGCCAGACGCAGGTCGGAGGCAGCAGGTAACCGGGACACAGAAACACCTCCTGAGCAACCCATGGGAGTTTTATTGAGCACTTGCCATGTCCCAAGCATCTGCTATCCATTCAGGATTCAAAGATGAATAATTCTCAGTTTCTGCTCTTCAAGAGCTTACAATCCAAAGAATCTCTCTTCTCAGCCCCCACATTCTAAGGCCTGCTCCAGAGGGAATGTGAGCACCAGAAAGAACCCACCCAGCCTCCTTTGAGCCTCCAGCCTTGCCCGGATCCAGGCTGCAGGTTGGGGAGTCACCAAAGTGAGAGGAGTTCTGTTCATCCACTGTAGGCACAGTCTGTAGCTGACATCCCAATCAGCAGAAGGCAGGTGGCTGAGTTTACAGCCACTGAAGGGCGGCTATGCTTTTAGTAGATAAATTGTCTTCTCTGCCTCAGAAGTATCAATTGAACAGCAACTATTTACTCAGTAGCTGTACTGAAGGCAGGAAACACAAGAGCGAAGTGTCATTTTTCCACTTCACCACACAGTCCCCAACAGCCGTCAGGTGGATAAACAGATTATTGCAGTAAAGCAGAGGCATCACAGGAGTATATTAACTAGAAGTCATAAGTCGAGGAGACTATGGAAGGATCTCTCCACTGAAGAGGAGGCACCTCGAGGATTCCTTCAGATAGCACAGTTCTGTGTTCACCATGATCGCTACTGCACAAAGGCCTGTGGGCAATATAAGAGGAAGGCATTCAGCCCCATTCTACAAACCCAGTGAGCATGTAATATGTACTAGGCATGCATGGGTGCATCCAAAGAGGAACCATACGTTGCTGCCCTCAGGAACCCACTGTCTGGGTGGGTGAAATGGGTGAAGGGCATCGAAAGGCACAAACTTCCCGTTATGAAATAAGTAAGTCCCAGGGATGTAATGTGCAGCTTGGTGACCATCGCTGATAATACTGTATTGTAGGGGGCCGGCCCCGTGGCTGAGTGGTTAAGTTCGCGCACTCTGCTTCGGCAGCCCAGGGTTTCACCGGTTTGGATCCTGGGCGTGGACAAGGCACCGCTCATCAGGCCACATTGAGGTGGCGTCCCACATGCCACAACTAGAAGGACCTGCAACTAAGATATACAACTATGTACCGGGGGGATTTGGGGAGATAAAGCAGGGAAAAAAATACTGTGTTGTAGATTTGAAAATGGCTAAGAGAGTAGATCTTAAAAGTTCTCAACACAAGAGAAAAAAATTGTAACTATGTGAGTGATGGATGTTAATTAGAGCCATTGTGGTGATCATTTCACGTTATATACAAGCATTGAATCATTATGTTGTACACTTGAAACTAATATAATGTTATATGTCAATTTTATCTCCATTAAAGAAAAAAGAACTCACATTCGACTGTGGGGCTTGGCAAACTATGGCCTGTGGGTCAAATCTGGCTTACCACTTATTTTTGTAAATAATGTTTCATTGGAATCCAGACACACTCATCATTTAACGTATTGTCTATGGTTGCTTTGGCACCCACTATAGGAGCAAAGTTGAGTAGTTGCGATTGAGACCTTATGGCCCATAAGACCTAAAATATTGACTGTATGACCCTCTACAGAAAAAGTTCGTCAACCCCTGGTGTTGTAGGAGAGACACAGGCTTGCATAGTTAACTAATTCTTGGCTGTGAGTGGCCATGCTGGTGAGAGAAGACAGCTGGCTGGCCGGCTGGCTGCCTCCCAGAGGCATTACCACGATTGGAGGACCAGCCCTCAACCTTGAAGCCCCAGAAACTGGACTTTGTAACTTCACCTGGACATGAAAACAGAGTTCATGGTGGACTGATAGATGCCCAAATCAAAGACTGATGTACAGGCTGAAAACAAGTATATGGTATGGGATAGCCCTTTTAGGGACTGGAATGATTCCTAGGGGGCTGCCCTTTCTACATACTGTGGCACTTACCCAAGTGTGGCTGGTTCTCGCGAGGTTTCCTGATAAGCCTCACAAAACCACAGGAAGCCCCCCACACCCACCCTGAGATAGTTCAGGTCAAGGTGAGACCAGAGGAAGAAACTAACCCTGTCTCTTGCAGACAATATCACTCCAGTGTCTGGAATTGAATGTCCCAACATTAGCATCGCCCTTCCCTGGAGAAGGTTGGGAAAATGCCAGAAAGTGCTCCTTTGGAGCCCACCCTTCTCTGACAGCCCCTACTTCTGTTAACACAGCCTTTCCGCAGCTGCATTAACATCACTGGCTAAAAGCTACAGCTGTTGCTAGTAAAAGGAGTGGTTCCTGTGAGCCTAGCAGGCTCTTTTGTTCTTTTCCATTATGCATAGTCTTTATGGGCTCACCCTAGGAGGGAAGCCTTCAAACCCTGTGCTCAGGCTCTCCAAGGGCACCTCACTGTCTCCCTCTGTCCACCCACTTACAGCTGACAACCTTGAGCTGTGCACTAATGGAGGCATAATCAAGATGCTATGTGACCACAGAGGAGAGTGCCCTTAGTCCTGACTGAGGGTTTGGTAAAAGGCTTCTCAGAGGAAGTGACACTTGATACGAGCTTTGGAGGAGGCAGAGCAATTTGAGAGGCAGAGTAGTGGGGGAATGGCATCCAGGTGGGTGGAGAAATGTGAGCAGTCACTGAGGTGACAGCATGAAGGGAGAGCTGACCAGCCAGAAGCCTGGTAAGGCAGAAAGAGAGAGAGGAGAGAGATTGAGAAGGGCAGAGTGGTGGCTATGGGGACGGGTGACGGGAGATGAAGCAGGAAAGACACCAAATCAGACTGAGAGGAGCTTTGTGTGCTTGGGTTTTATTCTGAAGGCAATGGGGAACATCAGGAGTTTTCGAGCAAGATAGGAACATGATGCGTTCTGTGGTTTAGAAAATAAATCCAGCAGCCGTGGGAAACACAAAGTAAGGAAAATCCTCAGGGTTCAGTGATGATCTTGGTGAGAAGTGGAACAGAGGCAGTGGGAATGAACTAGAAAGGAGAAATGCAATTCCAGAGAGTGGCATTGCTCATCAGGTAGGGTTGGAGGAGAGTAAAAGGCTCCTCTGAGCTTAAATCTGGAATGTTGAGGGAATGGTGGTGATGTTAACTGAGTTGGAGCTCTTAGGAGGAAGAATGGGGAAAAAATGACGAGTTATGCATGAGAATAGGGAGTGTCTGTAGGTCCGACTGAAAGCAGTTGGAAATACAGATGAGGAAAGAGATGAGGTAGAATTCAAAAGTTGGACTCATTTTCATGAGTGTCAGCTAAAACAAAGGGGGGAGAAATCAGCCAGGGGGAAAGTATAGAAGGAAAAGAAAAAGCAATTGAGAATGGACTCTTGGGGAACATCCATATTTAAGGGTGAGCAGATGAAGAGGAGCCCACGAAAGAGACCAAGAAAGTACCTCCGTTCATTTCATTCATTCATTCACTTGATCAACAAATATTCGTTGGGTACCTACCATGGGCAGGTCCTGTTTCCAGTGGGAAACAAATCCTGCTTTCCAGAGCTTATGTGAGCAAGGTGCTCAGAAAAATGCAGCACCCCGTGGAGGCCCAGAAAGGAGGGGAAGAGAGGGAAGAGGAAGGTTTGACACTATTGACTGCACTGGGAGCTAAGAAGTGGGGAGGAAGAGATGGCAAATGGGAGAGCTGAGGGAGGGAAGAGGGTCAGATGGGGGAGGAGAGAAGGCAGAGGTACAAAGGGGGATTTGTCTCTTTCCAGAGCCCACATTCTTTCTCCTGCCTCACCTTGGAAGCAGGGTGAATGCTGACCTACTCAGGTTTACCTCTGTAGTCATAGCAACCTCTGGGCGTGGCTTTGTTGCACATTCTTGAAAGTTTAGGCAAGGAAGTTACTTATCAAGTTACTACTAATTAGAAATACAGCAATTTTCCTCTCTCTTCGAACTTTCTCTTAAAGACTTGCTATGTTTTCTCTTTCGAGAATTCATTTTTCCCATACTTTTTCATTCACAGGGATTCTGGACTATAATGTATACAAACTAACCAAATATTGAAGATGTAAAATGAAAGTTATTCCGTTACCTGATTATAAAAGTGCTCACTGTAAAAACTTGGGAAATAGAGTATAAAGTAGAAAATACAAAATATTCATTTCCCCATCACTGTTCATATTCTGTTGTTTTTCCTCCTAATCCTGTTTCTAGACACATTTTATTATGTTCATGATTGTGTTGTATGTACAGTTTTGTATATTATTCTGTTTACTACCTAATTATGTCATGGGTATTTCCCCATGTCACTAAAATAGCTATGAAAACATTTCGTTCTACATAAGCTTCACACTTTAACCATTCCTACGTTATTCATTTAGGTTCTTCGTAATCTTTCTCTATTTTAATGCGGCAGTGATCCACCTTTCTACCTAAATTTTTGTCCCTGACTATTTTTCAAATCCATTCTCACTTCAAAATGACTTAATATATATTTCCCCCAGAATCCTTATATTTATTATTATTAATTTATTATTATTTTTTTTTTTGGTGAGGAAGATTGTCCCTGAGCTAAGATCTGTGCCAATCTTCCTCTATTTTGTATATGGGATGCATGGCTTGATGAGCGGTGTGTAGGTCTGTGCTTGGGATCCAAACCCACAAACCCTGGGCTGCCGAAGCAGAGTGTGTGAATGTAATCACTACACCACCGGGCCAGTCCCAAGAATCCTTATATTTAAATGAATAGTGTCTCATAAATTTCAGAGTGATACTAATACAATAAAAAGTAATTATGACATCCTTTGTCTCAAAATGCAAGTTCTTTTGAAATGTTACCTGATTATTTTGTAAACTCCATTTGTAAGTCAAGAAACTTGATCCAAACTGGAGTAATGATAAATTGCATTTATTTTTGACTCACTATTACACCCAGGTTTCTACCACTGCTTGCTTGAATTCTGCAGGTATAGCACTAATGGAACTATTTTTTCAAATTTTTAGGTTTGTCAGAGAATATTAATTTTAAATTAGGTCTTTTCTCACTACTCTCTTCACATGTAATTCTTTTCTTTGTTTTATTATAACACATCACTTTGTATGAAGATTCAAAGGCTATTCCAGAAAGCAAATAGAAAGTTATTTTTGTTTGCTGGAAAAATTAATTGGCCTTATAGAGCTTTTTCGATTCTTTCACTCTCAAACATTTGGTGTGCTTCTGCTTTAAGTGTCTCTCATAAGAAGAATATAGCTGGATTTAAAAAAAAAAAAAAAAGAACTTTTAGCTGGCAAGTTTCACTCTACTTTTTGTGATCTTGATATATTTGGATTTATTTTTACTATCTTTTTCATGCTTCCCTTGAAGTTCTTTTCTTATTTCATTTTTTTTCTTCTCTAGTAGTTTGGAACCTATAAACTCTATTTCTAATTTTTTAATGGTTAGAGTTATTAATTATATTTACCCACTTCCTAAAACTTAGAGTGTTTTAACTCTTTCCAGCTTATAGACTATTATTGTCCAATATTTTATTTCTATTAAAAATGTTTTACGAAATGTATCCTAGATAGAAAAGAGTGTACAGCATGCACATATGCAGTCATGAACACTTATGTGCCCACTATTCTAAGAAACTGAATATTAACTCTATTTTACCATGTGCTCCCCTTAATTTTTTCACTTTACAAATTAGATTGTTATTAGTGTTAATGTTTATTTAGATTTATCCATGTGATTACCATTTTCTTCACTCATGTGGTTACCGTCCTTCTTACCTCTCAGATCTCCCTTTTGTGGTCCTTTTCCTTCTTCCTGAAGAATGCACCTTTAAGAAGTTCCTTTACTAAGGGTCTGTTGAAAATAAGTTACCTTAGCTTCTGTTCATCTCTATGTCATCCTCATTCTTTAAACATAAATTTTGCTTGATATACAATTATAGATTGACAATTATTTTCTTTTAGCAATTTGAAGACATTATCTTACAGTATTTTGGTGTCTGTTATTCATAAGAAATCAGATATCAAGCAGAAAACTGTCTTTTTGGGGGGGCTGTTTTTAGGCTATTAATTGAATAGCTTTAATGTTCTTTAATGTTCTACATTTTCACTAGGATGAGTCTGGATGTAAATATTTTTTGAATATTTTGTACTTCCTAAATATAAGGATCCATATAAGGAAAATTCTTGAATATTGTCTCTCTCCCATTCTTTCTATTCATTCCTTCTGGAACTCTGCCTAGATGAATGTCAGAACTTGTCACTCAAACTTCGGTGTCTATTAACCTCTCTTTCATAATTTCCTCCTCTTCGAGTCTCTGTACTATATTCTAAGTAATTTTGTTACATACAATTTTCAGTTTACTAATTACATTTTCCAGTTGTTCTAATCTGCTAGTTAACTCATATGTTGAATCTTAAAATTTAAACTATACCTTTAACTTCCAGAAGTTAAGAATCTGCCTGGATATTTATGATAGCATTTTACTCCTTGTTCATATATTAAATTCTTTAAATATTGGAAACATACTTATTCTATAAATTATGGCCTAGCAGCCAAATCTGGCACACTCCCTACTTTTGTAAACAAAGGTTTATTGGAACACAGCTAAGCTGATTAATTTACATACTGCCTGTGTCTGCTTTCCCTTTAGAATGGCAAAGTTGAGTCTTTTTGATAGAGACTGTATAGCTTTCAAAGTCTAAAATGTATACTACCTGGCCCTTTAGAGAAAAAGTTTGCCAAGCCCTGCTACCTGTGATAGTTCTAACATCTAAGGATCTTGTGTGCCTGATTCTGCTGCTTGATGTTTCTGCTAACTCTGTCTCATGATGCCTTGCTCTCTGAGTGGTCTTGTGATTTTTTTATTGTGAGCTTATTTTTGTTGGGGCATTATCTATGGGAATTTTATGAGACTTAAGAGAATATTCCTCCTGTTTGTGCTTACTTTGCCAACCGCCCGGGGATTTACTAATCCAGAACTATTTTAAATTAGTTTCTCTGGATTAAAATAGTTTCAGGATAGGCAAGGAGAATGAATTTGAACCCCAGTCTTGACGCCTGGTTTGTGATTATTTCCTCTGGTCAGGGGAGAGGCACTATTTTTGCTTCCAACCAAAATCAAAGCTGAGTCAGAAAATTTTCTTGCTGTCTCCCTTTGCAAGGCAAAATACTTTCCAGTCCATTCTTTCACTGGAAATGTGGGCCTTTGGGGACTTATTCTAAAGTCTCTATCCTGACATTCTCCTGCCTTGTCATGCCCCCTTCCCCTGTCCCCCAACTGGCAAATGCCCTTAGGGGTTCACTGCCTGCTTGAGTGATCATTTACTCTGCTCATTCTGAATTCTGGCTTCTACTTCTTTTTTATTTTTATTTATTTACTTATTTATTTTTTATGGTATGATTCTTTATATGAAATATCCCGAATGGGCAAATCTATGGAGACAGAGAGACGAGTGGTTGCCTATAGCTGGGGTATTAGGGGTCGACTCTAATGGGTACGATGTCTCTTTTCAGAGCCATGAAAGTGCTCTGGAATTAAACGGTTGCACAACTGTGAATATAACAGTATTGAATTACACCCTTTAAAACAGGGAATTTTATGGTATGTTAATCATATCTTGAAAATTTTTTAAAAACTTCCTAGTTATAATGGTTTTTCCTTTGCTGTGGCTGTGGAGTGAGATGGAAGGAGGGCAGGCTGGTCAGTCAGGATGCCACTCAGTACTTGATAGAATGGTTCCTACACTCATCTCAGAACTGCTAGCACTTGTGTGGTTGGAGTTTTCTAGAAAAGCTGGAGATCAGCATTTTTGAGTGGGATCTACTTCTTAATTTAGCCTCTGACGATTTACCTTAATTTCTTGCCTTGTTAGCTATTCCTTTTATCCAGCATTTTATAGGTGTTTTTTAGGGGGGGATTTTCAGGATATGGAGTATGTCATATTACTGGAAATAAATGTCATGAAAATCTTAAATTAAAAACTGTACAGTTAGGATAACGGAAATGGGAAAATTTTATAACGCCCTACAGGCTCCAAGCCTACCTAGTGTTTACATATATCTGAATTTTGAGTGGTGTCTCTGGAGCCAGACAACCTGGGTTTGGAACCAGGCCTTGTGTAGAGTGGGGAGGGGGAGAGAGTGGCCAAACTTTTTCAGGGCCAGGTGATAAGTATTTTCAGCTTTGCAGGCCATACGCAACTACTCAAGTCTGCCAGAGTATCATGAAAACAGCCATAATTACATACTATGTAATGAAGGGGCATGGCTGCATTCCAATAAAACTTTATTTACAAAAATGGGCAGTGAGCCGGATTTGGCCTGTGGGTCATAGTCTGCATATCCCTGGCCTTGTGCAAGTCAGTGAAACTTTATAAGCCTGAGTTTCCTAATCTCTAAAATGAGGCTAATATTAATACCTGTGTCATACAGAGGTTGTTATGAACATTAAGTTAGCAAATTCATGTAAATGCTAGTGTTAGCAATAATGATGATGTTGGCAATGATGATGATGGTTTCAAACAAATTCCCTGATTTTGTAAGATTATCAGGTTGTCTTCTTCACTTTAAAACATTTGAGTATGTCCAGTGTAGCCTCCTCAGCTGCTAATGAGGATTCATAATAGAAAGCTAACAATACTGCAGCAACAAACAATCCCAAAATCTCAGTGGCTTTAAAGATCTCGGATTTAAGTTTTGCTCACATTACGTTGCCATTACACATCGATAGGAGACTCTGTTCACTGTTGTCCCTCTGGGACCCAGGCTGATGGAGCAGCCACTATCTTGAAATTACTGGTCACTACAAAGGAAAGGAGCTCTGGAGGGTCTTGCAGCAACAATTAAATGCTTGCTCTGCAAGTGACATGTGTCATTTCTGTGCACAATTCATGGTCAGAATTGGTCACATCTTCCCCTCCCGCCCTTGTTGCCCCAGTTGTGCATGCTGTCAGCAGACAGGCTTCACCTGTCAGCCCCTCCTGGAGGACCTGAGCTGCAGAGCTGCCTTACCCAAGGCCACTCCCTTCCCAGGGCAGCCCACATCCGATGACTGCTCCAGGTGGGTGTACCATGGCCCAGCCATTTTGACCCAACGTGGGACAACTCTGATGGCCATTTTAACCCCAGAGATTCCTGTGGGTTTGGCTCAGTCTGTTGTTGGGCAACTTGACTTCTGCCTCTGCCTAATCCTGCTTCCTTCTCCTCCTTTCCACAGGGTTGCTTCCAAGGACACTCCTTAGTAAACATCCTGTACACTAAACTCCATCTTGGGGTTCTTCTCAGAGAACCCAAACTGTGACACCATCATGTGCTCAAGAGGAGGAGGGCTGGAAATATCTCCTGTGGATCACTGAGGACCACCTTACTCACTAAAGTGAGCACGGGAGCACATACACATTTTAGACAAAGTCTAAAATCAGCGCAATGATAATAGCTGATATTTACTGAGCACTGACCTGCCATATGCTGTACTAAAACATGTTGCCTGGATTAGCTCACTGAATCCTCAGAATACCCTATGTATTAGACCAGGGGATTAGACCAGGGGATGGCAAGCTACAGCCTGTAAACCAAATCTGCCCATGCTCATTCCTTTCTGTATTGTCTATGCTACTTTCATGCTACAATGGCAAAGTTGAGTAGTTGCGACAGAGACCATATGGCCTGCAAAGTTGAAAATATTTACTCTCTGGCCTTTTCAGAAAAAACTTGCTGAACCTGTGTTAGGTATTGTTCCTATTTGATAAGGAAATAGAAGCTTAGAGATGTACATAGTTCAGTAAATTACAGAATGCTGTTTTTTGGTTACAAAGGCAAATGTCTATAGAGTGGCCCTCTTCTGTGAAGGCAGGTGCAGAACCCTCCCATGCCACTTAGGGGCCTTTGTAAGTGCTCAGTGGATAAATATGAAGGACTCTCTTCCCTTCCTTTCCTCCCACCATCCTCCTTTGTAAAATTCAGTCTCCTCTTCCATCTCTGCTTTTAATCTCCCCCCAGCCTGATTCTGTCCTCTGAAGGCAGGATCATCTGAAATAGTGACCATATGACCTCTCTCCAGCAAGTGAAGAACACAAAAGACTCAACCATTTTTGGGATCTTTGACTTTAAAACCCCTGGTGGAAGTTTCATTTTTCCAGTAATGGCTACCAGATGAGTTAGGGCAGTAGATGTGTAGAGGCTGAGCTGGCTACCAGGAAACACTTCATGATGACTAAGAAATGATTTTTTGTGCTTAACCATAAAGTGACAAAATAAAATGGCAGCCTTGACAGACCCCTTAGAATCTGAAGCTGAGATTATCTATTTGCAACTGCCTCCAGCTGAGAAGCGGTTCCCAGGACAGCACTGAGGAACTCAAAAACGTTCCCTCATAAAAGTGATTGTTCAAGGGGGATTCAAGAGTTTAGTTCCTTAATGCCTAGTCAGCTGCTTCTTAGATTCATGCAGAACAAGAGCCAAGGGCTCCAGGTTTACTTCCACACTTAGGAGCAGAACTAAGAACTGATCTCAGGTTGTTTGACACCAAAGTGTGTGCCCTTAACCGTACCTTCTACTCCTTCCTGGCATGCAAATATCCAGGATTATGAAATTACATTTTACAGATGCGGTTATATGTGCTCATATGGATTTTCTGCCAACGATTTTCTAGCAATTGGCTGCAGGAGGACTGTGGGAAGAGATCCCACCTATCCATCTCTTTATCCCATGCCTTCTAAAGATAATTTCTCCAACTTTCACTGAGAATCCTTGGATCTAGTCAGGAATATTAGACCCCTAAGCAAAAATTTCTAAAATCCTTTCCCCTTTCTTAGTTAATTAAAAAAAAAAAATTGGCCCTCAAAAGTGACTAGTGAATGAGTGAGTGAGTCAGTGATTGAATGAATGAATCTCTCTCCAGACCCCTGACAACTTAAGGATCTTGGGCAAAGTCTGTGCTCATGATGAAAAAAAGGTAGTTGGAAGGTTTTCTATTGCAGGCCACCCGCAGCAGTTAGCCATCCAGAGGGAGAGAGTCATTCACTCAACAAACGCAACTATTTATATGACTGGCACACTGTGGTAGGCCTGGGGGATATGACGAAGGCCTCTGCTCTCCACACAGGCCCCCAGGGACGACGTGGAGGCATGGAAGTCAGTGTGGGCGCAGGCAGATTCACCCGGGGCTGTGGCCAGTTACTTGTATGTAGGGAAGAAAACAGGAGGAAATGGAAAGATGGAAGATGCTCTTTCTAGTAATCGAAATGGAAGTGTAACATCCAGGTTGTGGATTGGAAAGAGTTAAGTGGAAAGTTCTTGCCCAGCTGGCAGATGTAACCTGATCCCTCTCTGCAGTAGCCTGGGCTTTAAAACCAGGAAACCTGGAGGAATCACAGACACTGGGCTGGTTTTACTGGTCTCCCCTCACTGTTTAGAAAGCCAGGCCTCTCCTTGCATAGCTGTTGTTCCTTTGGTGGTGTGAGTTACTTCTCTATATTGCTCTGTTCATCCATATTATGTGGGTTTTTACTAGTTGCATTCTCAGAGTATGTCCTGGTCTCCAGTAATGGGGTAATTTGAAAGGCAACAAAAAAAGAGATGTTATAAAAGCATTGACTATTTTAATGATATAACTCTGGCAATGTAACAGTTTTCAGACACAAATATGATAAAATTCGTTCTACAGAACTTTCCAAACCATTAACTCAGAGGTAGGAAACGTTTTTTTCTACAAAGGGTCATTGCCTGATTCAGTTAAAGCAACTTAATTTAGGTTGGGGGAGAATTTGGGCAAACCCCATGGCTCAGCAGAACCCTGCCTGCAAACAGCTAAAGACAAGCCACTACATTGTAACCAAACCTCAACTATTATTAACCACGACTAGGCTTAATTCTGGTTTATCTTACTAGGACCAAGAAGAAAAAAAGGTTTCACCCACAAGCAACATTCTATGTTTATTACAAAGCATGTATTTCGTGCTTATTATCAGGGGTGGATGATGAAAGCTCCAAGAGTTAGGAAGAGAGGGTAAACTGAGGTTTTAGGTGGTTTAGGGTGGTCTGAAGAGCTTCATGGACGTAAAGGATCTTGAGGGCTATTTCGAAGGAGGAGGAGGGCTTGCTTAGTTGAGGAGGTGAGGGTATTTGAGGAGAGAGATGTGACAGGAAGCTACAGGCAGGAATATGTGTTCTGTTTCTTCAGACCGGCGGCTGATCAGAGTCTTTTTTTTTCTTTCAAAGAGAAAGAATAAAAATAGGTAGATAAATGTAGTTGGAACAGAAAGCTCATTTGGGGGAGTAGCCAAAGATGAGGCTGAAAAAGTGAGAAGGAGGCCATGTGTGACAGACCTTGGGGCTTAGACAACCAGACAGGCTGGCTAGGCCCTGATACGTAGAGGGGGTGTAGTAACCTCTCGTGTTTTCTTTTCTTTAGGCTTCTTTATTCACTATATGATATCTTCCTCAGGTTGGTAGGAGGCAGAGAGAATATTTGGAAAAAAAATAATTACAATCATATTAAACCCAGGCAGGGTCATGTTCTCGTGCCATTGGGTGAAAATTCTAATGTAGACAAGAGAAATAACAATTACTGATGCCCTAAAACTTAAATAAAGAAGCAATTCCAGCTATTCAACAACCTGGGAAGCACTGAAGCTGAAGCAAAGCACGAGGTTCCTCTTAAAATCGGATCAAGATTTATAAGGAGCTGTATCTGAGTGGAGAGAACATTACTCTGCTGGCCCACCGGGCACTCAACTAACCTTGCAGGTGTCTGGGCATCTTTGAACTTAAATTTAAGCAGGGAAATTAGGAACATTTCCATTGACCGAATGGAAGGTCAAAGAATTGTTTTAACTCAGATACCAAAGTGAATTGCAAATAATTGGGGGCCTTTTTGTGATCAAAAGGCAAGCGTTTCATAGCTTACTTTGCAGAGGTGCATCTCAGTTCAGTGGACATCCAAGTATTTTCCAAGATGCAAACTCCTTGAGAGTAAGAACGTATTTCCTTTATGCCCTCTTGAATGCTGACCAGACAATGGCCCAATGAGGTTTGGCGGGTGTGAACGACAAGTGTAAATAAAATTGTATTGATAGCTAGTTAATTATTATGTAGTTTCATGTTTAATATTCAAAAATTCTGAATAAATTGGTATGAAAAAACCTCAATGAAAGATAAATTAATGAACAGATTTTGGTTAGCTGCAGACAGAGAGGCATTTTGTTGTGTTCAGCAGCCACCATTGTGTGACACTCAAGTTTAATTACATGTGAGGTGAGTGAGAAGGGGACTAGAATAATCAGGGAAGTTTAGTGTTCAGAGTGCTTTATTTTCAGTGTTTACTTTTGTTGATTGGCTCTTCTAAGTTTGTAGGAAGGCAGCCATGTCTCTGACCATTTTTCCTCTTAGGAATCTCCTTTCTCATTCCCACAGTCTTTTCTCAATCCTTGCCACATATGTAATTAGTTGTCCTGGGTCTGTTTACCCCATTAGACTGCATCCTCCATGTGGACAGGGTCTATATCGCCATGGCCGGGCACTCAGGGCCAGCACAAAGGCACTCCCTGGCCCAGGGGCAACTCTGGGCTGCAATCCAACCAGGCATTGTTTTAACTTCTCCACTTGAAATGGAAGGCTGTTTTGATTTTACTGTAAAGTTCTACAGGGGCTAGCTGAGTGCTCTATGGTTGTTCAATAACTGTTTGCTGAATGACAACCAAAGATGTTTAAATTTGAAACCTGAAGTTTTAAAGGGAAGGGAAACACTGGGGTAAATCTTGGTTCTACTTGTTGCTCAATTCCAGGGGCCTTTCATCTTTCTCTGCCCATCAGCCCCGTCTCCATCTTGCTCACACAGCTTGGCAGACACACTGACACCTTCATCTGACGAGTCTCTGTTTTAACGCTTCTCTTGTAAAGCTTCATGTGAGTTTTCACGGAGGCTGAGTTAAACATGGAGGAGGTCACACAGTTCTAATCTCCTCGACCCCCGCTTTTTGATGAACTAATTGAAAGAACAAGGACAAGGACCAGGGGAGTAAATGAAGTGCCTCTTTGCAGGTGTCTCGAGCTGAAGCTGTGGTCTTTGGCCACATGCTTGTGTGGGAGAACATGGGACTTCCTATCCCTCCCACTTTGCAAGAGATGTAGGGCAGCCAGCCAGCCACCCTGTACTGCCACCTCCTAAGGCCATAGGTTTAATTCCAGCCCAAAGCTGGACAAGCTGATGTTCAGGTCAGAACCAGCCCATGTTCAGAGACAGCTGCCAGAATCCTAGGGGGCCGCCTGAGAATATCAGCCCTCAGGTTCTCGGTAGAGTTCTTTTCTCCCTACACTTTATTTTTTATTTATTTATTTTTTTTGAGGAAGATTAGCCCTCAGCTAACTACTGCCAGTCCTCCTCTTTTTGCTGAGGAAGCCTGGCTCTGAGCTAACATCCGTGCCCATCTTCCTCTAGTTTATACGTGGGACGCCTACCACAGCATGGCTGCCAAGCAGTGCCATGACCGCACCCGGGATCCGAACCAGCGAACCCCGGGCCGCTGAGAAGGGGAACGTGCGAACTTAACCGCTGCGCCACCGGGCCGGCCCCCCTACACTTTATTTTTAATTTTCTCCTTTTCCCCCTCCTACTTCTCTGTTTGCTCCCTTTCTCATTCACTGATTCTCCTTCATTTCCCCCTTCTCCAATTCACCCTCTTCCTTCCTTCCCTCTACACACCTCTTTTGGTCCCTCCTTCCTCTATGTCCACTTTCTTTTTGTCTTCACACCCTTTCTCTCCTATTTTCTCAATCTCCTTTTCTTTTCCATTCCTCAGTCTCTCTCTCTTGCTCTCACTGTCCTTCTTTCTCTTCCTTTCATCTACAATGTACTGACTTCCTGTTTCTCTTTCCCGTCTCCCCTCCTTTTCTCTTTCTAAGAATTTGTTGATGAAACTAGAAGACTAAAAGGGGCTCCATGAAATCCTCAGCTGGAAGAAAAGATGCGCGGAAGCAGTTCTGATCACAGGCAGCCACTAAATTTGATTTGTAGCTAATCTCAAAATGTAGGAAAAGATCTTCAATTACAAAACTCGTAAAGTGTAAGGATGAGGGAACCTGGCTGCATTTTGAGTTTGACTAATGGTTTCAAAGGGCTTTAAAAAGCTTGGCATTTGCCAGCCTTCCTTTCTTCCCTTAATCCTCAGACCCATGAGTTTTTATGGGAAACATAATCCTCTTTTCTGATTCATTTACACTTAGCTCATCTGAGTATTGTTTTGTGAAAACCATCTGAAGTCCAAGAAGTTTTATGAGATCTTTAAAACTTGTTTTTTGAACCAGGAAGTTGTGTACTGCCAATGTAAATGGACCTTGAAACCTAGGGAGTTTGGGTCCAGAATCCATGGCATTAAACTGGGTTTAGACTTGGCAAAGGCCCGTCCCCACGCCTGACGGAAAAAGGGCTTTCACTTTCAGAATAATAGTGAGTTCAGTGTTTTAGATGAGTGACTATCTCACATGATAGTACATAGGAGGCCCAACACATTTCTCAAGGATTATCTTGCTAGTTATGTAAATAGCAAGAGACTGATGTGGAAAACTGTGACTTTGCTAGAGTTTCCCAACTAGAGTGGGGCTGCTAACTTATGTGTATATTACTCATATTAATGGTAGTGTAGACACAGATGTATACACACCTGTATATGGGTCCTTTCGGGATGAGATTAATATTTACACCAGAGATTCTTTCTGCGGTTATGTTTCAGAGATGATCTGATTGTGATGTATCCAAATCTGTCATAAGGCAGGTTGTAATCAGGTTGAAGACTGGGATGAAATATCCACTTCTGCATTGCTGTGGGTCAAGAGAAAGGAAGATTGCATTGTTTCTTTTTAATGGTAGAAAACGTTTTTCTGTAGAAACACAAAACATGGTTAAGGTCATTGCTCTCCCTAAATGCGAGGACCTCCCTGCACTCTAGTACATGATAAGCAAGGAGTTGAGTCGGATACCAGAAGCTGTAGACTGACAGTCAAGTAGAGTTTACAATCCTGGGGTTGATCTCCAGGCTTGCTGGAAACAGGCTCACAGAGGTGAAATGACTTGCTCCAGTTCCCATGGGAAGTGAAGTGGCAGCGCTAGGGCCCAGCTCTCTGGCTCCCTGTCCAGGCGCTGCCCTCTACAGACAGCTGCCTCCCATTGACTGAAGCAGGCTTCCATGTCTGCTATCCAGCTGGGTCCTGTGAGTGACCCACAAGAACAGCTCACCCACCACTGCAGACTAAAGTCTGGTCCTTTGGTCAGGCTGTCCTTCAGTATTTCCTGAGCTTTCACCTCTCTAGCACCTCTCCTCTCCTCTCCTGACTTTAGAATGGACTTAGTGCTTCTAGACACCTCCTCCCCCCATCCATTTCAACTGCAGCTATGTAAACCCTATCGGAGAGGTAAAATCTCTATAGACTGATTTGAATTGCAGGTAGGAAATGTTTTCGCTACATGTTGTGAATTTTCCAGAGATGACAAAGAATTATGGATGGTACTGTGACACTGGCCTCATACAAATCAGATCTTGACTTGTGAGGGTTCATATTATCTCAAAGTGTTGCTTGATTCAGTTGTTATTTGTCTTTTCTTAAGCTTCTGTTTATTTACGTCATCTCCCTAACCAGATAGAAAGTTTCTCCAAGACAAAGAGGCTGTGCCTCGTGACACTTTGTACCTGCAGAAGGTCAGCCTCTGTGCTTGCCTCAGAGTACGCACTTGGTCGATGTTTATTAGCTTGTGCTGTGTGCTTCCTACAGAACCCAGGGCTGGGAGGCAGTTTCTTGACCCACTCTCCTTCCTCAATCTTCTAAGCTGGTTCCCTTTAGCCTGGCTCAGAGACTGACCTCAAATGACCCCACCCCTCCAGTCCTCAGGGACCCCAGATGTTCTTAGAGCCACAGACTGTCGGGCTGGAAGGGACTTTTAATCCAACTTCTCTGCGTTATGGAGGAAGTTGCGGTTCAGAGAAGGGAGATGAACTGCCCGTGCTCTTTCAGCTAATTAGCGGCAGTATTAGGACTGACTGAGGTCTCTCCCTCCAGCCCAATGCTGGTTACCCTCCACAGCGGCTCTCAGATGCATTCTCACATGAAACTGGTGCTCAGGCAGATGGACTGAGGCCCTCTCCTGCTAAGTCAAATATTAGAGGTCTTTCTCTAATGTACAGAAAGAATAGATTAATGGATTGTTTTCTCAACTTTATTTTCCATCAATTCTTCTTAAACCATTGTCACTTCCTACCAATTGTCTACTAGCCAATGCAGGCAGACAACAAAACAAAAGGATAAGCCACAAATAAATATGAACCACACCAACCAAAGCCTTGGAAACAGACTACTATTCTTAAACAGCTTTTTTAAAAAAAGATTGCTACCACCTTGGGTTTTCAATTGCATTCATACAATAACATCGTGCATTCTGCTGGAGACAGTGTTTTTAATTCAAATGCTGGAAGTAAATACGTCATTATTTTATGATTTTCCCCAAAGGGCCCTATGACCCCCCAGGCACTCTGTCCTCTGGAACATTCTGCATCTCCCTTGATGTGATATTGGATCATCTCCAGTGAGTGGTCCTTTCCCTTCGGTAGGGGTCTAGGGAAGTGATCTTTTTTTTTTTCCATACTAAACCGGCTTGGGGTCGTCATGAATCCTAAACTGTACTATTCCTGTCCTAAAGGCCTTTTCACCAAAGAGCAGGGCTGCCTGTTGAGGTTTTACCGTCTACGCGGGCGCCCCCTGCTGCCCGCCCTGCGCTCTCGCACATGCCAAGCGAGGAGTCGAGTCGGGTACCAGAAGCTGCAGACTGAGAAGCGGTCAAGTGGAGTTTACAATCCAGAGAGAACCATCCAAACGCTTTCTGATGGACACCTCGGCGCACCCCGAGCAGTCCTTTCTGGGGCCCGATCTGGTATTTTAATCCAATGTCTGCAGCAAGTATCCGAGCAAACGCGGATAAGGAAATGCCTGGAAATGCCTTCCAAACAATATCAAACGAAAGCTGCGGGGCTTCTGGAAGGAAAGGACCGTTTAGAAGTGACTTTGACGAGTCCTTTGTCCTTTCCCAGGACACGGGGC